ATCTACATAATGTTTAAAGGCAAGTGTGAGTTGTCTTTTAGTTTTGTTCTAAGGTTGGAGCCTAGTAGCCTGGGGCTCCTAGTAGTTTCAAATCAATGAAAAGTGTTCACAGTATCCTCAAACCTCCCCTGAGTGCCACACCCTTCTATACACCACAGATTTTGTTTCTGATTGAAGGGTGGGGATTAATAAGCATTAAGTAGAGTCATTTTTGACCCTGGAAGGTGATTTTTTTTTTATTACACATGATATGGTTCGCTATGATGCCTAGCATTTGGTGTACATCATGCCTTTTCAGTTTCTGAAGGTACTTGGACAGGCCTGGCGATTTGCTTCCAGAAGGACACAGCCTTGAAAATTCTTTGGAGCAGTTCCCCTTTGTACATATGTGGGTGTTAGGAATTGGAATCAGCTCCATCGCAATTAACAATATCTTTTTAATTAGTAAAGCTGTTGTGGGGTGCTGTGGAATTGACTGAAAGTTGTGGAGACCCTACAAACAACAGACCTGAACCTTGCCTGTTCTTGGCCATCTTCACAACCTCCAGATACAATCACCTTGTCAGTTGGTCTTGTTTAGGCTCTTCTCTCTCTGGTCCTTTCCCTGTCACAGCATAAGATCTTCGTTCCAAGGACTGATCTCTCCTGAGAACATGGCCAAAGTAGGTGAGCTAAATTTTCATCATCTTTGCCAAGTATTTTTTTTTTAAAGCGTGCTAGGTGTATAGGGCCAGAGTGACCTTAGCCACATCTTTTGGGGTTTCTGGTTTGTTCCTAAACCAGTGGGCCTAAGCTTCATGCAAATTTGTTTTAAATACTATATGAATTGCTTAAAAAAAATAACTTTAAATGAAAAGATGTAACTTGTGGCTTGTGTTTCAACTCTTTAGTGCTCAAAGAACTGGAACTACAAATAGGATTGTTTTTGCGTTGTTGTTGTTGTTAAGTGCCTTGGAGTCGAAGGTGACTCATAGCGACCCTGTGAAGGAGAGTCCTTGATGCTTGGGTGTCTTTCATCCTCTCTCCAGGTTCATAGGGTTTCCAGAGGCAAGTTATTATGGAAGTGGATGACATTCCTCCTTCCAAGCTTGTTTTTATCGGGGAGCTCCACCCCACTCTCTGTCTGCATTGGGTAACCAGCCATTAATGCATTTGACATATCAGTGTCACAGTGTTCAACCTCACAGCAACCACAAGTGACCGCTGTACGGCAACTTGTACACCAGGGCTATATGACTTAGAAGAATATCTGAACAAAAACAATGAAAGACCAGCCCAGCATGCCCAAATGCTGGCAAACTCCTTGCCCCAGACCCCCAGTTCATCTGGCAAGTCTGCTCTGCCAACCCCCTTGTGGGCCCAAAAAACCACAAGTGCCTGGAGCCCTCAAACCTACCGCTCCTCAAGAAGCCGGAGTTAGTATAGTTAATATTGTTAAATAAATTAAGAGCTCCTCTAAGTAGTAGGCCATGGTTTTTGCAATCACTTGTTATGCATCAGAGAGTTGGACAATGACTAGGGAGGATAGAAGGAGAATTGACGCCTTTGAGCTGTGGTGCTGGAGAAGAGTATTGAACATACCATGGACTGCCAAGAAAGCAAACAGATTTATCCTGGAGAGGGTTAAACCAGGCTGCT